GAAGCTCGAAATTGGTTTAGTTTCAACAGAAAACCAGAATTGAAAATTGCGCGTCAGTGGGATAGACGAGTGGGTTCTGTGCCGCGGAGCGGCGTCTACGGGGTGTTGGGGAGAGGGGAGGACTGCAATTCTCTGACTCCAGATTTCGTGGGTCTAGCGGGGGAGAGTTATTAGCGTCGTTCATCACTGCTCGTAATGACGTAGACCAGAATAAACATACCCGTCAAATATATCGCCTTTTTAGGGATTTCGTGTGCGCGCCGACGAGATTGCTTTGGTGTAGTTTTTCCGGCTCTCTTTATTTACATTTATATGACCAATTTATTACGACGGATTATTTATTGTCGCGCCCCGCCTTTTTAGCTGCGACGCCTTCGCGGTATCCGCCCGACCGCATCAGACGACTTTCACCATAACCTCGAATTAATTACTCGTAACAATTCGAAATTGTCGGCTGCGAACGAGACAAATCGCGTAACATACACGAGACTCGTTCTGCGCGGTTTAGAATTACTGCTTCCGGATTCTGAACAGCCTGTTTAGATTGTGCGGTTTCTCATGATCGTAAAATTTAAATTGTTTAAGGGTTCGCGTTCGCTTTTTGGTGACTATTATAAAAAAATTTAATCCATAGCGACAAATTCTAGAGATTTTGCAATCAGGTATATCAGACAAATTGAAAACATACAAAGAAAGTTTCTAAAATTTTTGCAATCGCACACGCGGCTAGGGGAGTGCTACATAGTGACGTATTGTCACTGTCAAATCGTAGAAGGTACCTCTCAATTCAGTTGTTGCATAACGACTGTGGCTCATTAGCGGAATGCCATACATTGGTGAACTAACTTAATTTTCATGTAACTTCAAGGACATAGTAGCCCCAAAAAAAAATCTTTTGATCAAAGGTCCTCTCTATTAGTTAATGAAACTACTTATTGACTTGACTGCCTTATTCGCTCATAGTTTACGATATTAATTTTGATATAAGACAATAAAGATTATTATAATTATCAATATTAACCCCAAAAAATACAACGCGCGGCGTTACCAGGCCGTCCGCATTTCGATAAAAGGGTTGCGGATGCCGGATTCACCGCGGTTCCATTTAAATACCGCCCGTTCGTCAATCGGGGTTAACTTTATTCATTTGTTACGACGATGCAAATTTTATACGACCGTTTAGGTGGTGGTGGCGGCGCGGCGCGGGTGGCGCAACTTTAAATTTCAAATGGGCTGCCAATAACGAGCGCCCCCCTCTAACCCCGGCCGGGGCATTTAATAAGGCGCAAAGGTTTTTCGGTTAAAACACAGCCGGCAGGGGGTCGCTTTCAACCCTCTCCGCGCCCCGTCGCGGAGCGTTGTTGATGACGCGTCACATCCATCGTGATTATATAGCCCTGGCCTGGTAATGGCCGCTCGAAGTACGGTCCGCTGTCACTCGGTCGCGATAAACAACCGAAACGGCTCGAACGTCGATATATAAACGACGTGTCGGAATTTAAATTTATCGGAAACAAAGCGCGACGCACGTGAAATTGTTGCGAGTAAAAAAAGCGAACCACCCGAGCGATTATAGTTATGCAACCAACCGCGCAACAACGTATTTAAGATGGTAGTGCCCGCGTACACAACTTGATTGGATTAACTTTCCAAAAACTAAAATAAGCGACCTAGGCGCAGGAAGAAGAACAAGGTAACCTTAGTTTTTCTACTCCCGTCTGCAATAGTATATTATGTAACAAGTGCGGTAAACGGCATTTGATTCATGAGTTTGACACGAGCGGAGCGACTGTTGGTTTGTTTTAATTTGTAATAGCTTGTAGCGACCTCAATGCTAATTTGAGTGTATTGGTGTCACACGGATATATATTAACAATTTGGTGATATATTTTTTGAGAGTTAGAGAAAGTTGTATACAGGATAAGTCGAAGAGGTCGATCAACTTAGTAATGACAGATTCTCTGCGTAAAAATATTGACACTCTTTTATTTTTACAGGCTAATAACTTTATTTAAAAAATACCATTTTTATTTAAAAATCTCGCAGTCGTCACATATTATTTTCTCGATGTACGCCTATGGGGTGAAAACTTATTTCGTTTAGTAATCCCGTTATACATTGTACAATCTTTTGTCACTTGTTTATTTTTCACAATTGCAATGTAAAATATTGCAACATTCAACACACAACACATCAAATAAATATTTTTCTCTTTTAATTGACGATAACAAAAAAAAAATGAGTAGTCAAAATATCTAGCATAATAGAACACAATGAATATTGCATTAATATAAAAGTTTCGACAAAGCTTGATCTATTTTTTCGATTCACTTGTGTACGCCACTTTTAGTTTTTGTCCATAAATAGGACATGGTCGACACTGTAACACTGCAGCGCCGTCTTGCGGCGTTGCCGGCGCACCGCGGAGCCACGTATTTATCAGGATTTCGGCACGTGACCAGAGTCAGAACTTCGAGCGCTGAAATATGATCACGTTATCCTACGTAGAGGACACCCTCGTATAATTATGCCACGAGAGACTGTAAATAATTAGACCACTTAATCAATTTCCGCTTCGGCGACAGTAGATAACGATACACCAGGTTCGCCCCGGCGGGAAATTGTTGGGAGAGGGTGGGAGAAAACTTTTACCTTCTGGTCTGCCCGCGCGACGCTCGGAACGCGTTTGCTAATATTTTTTACTATAATTTCCGTAAAATATACATGGCGGTTTCAAAACTAAGCATCGAAGTTTTAAAGGGTAACCCAAATTGCGTAATACAAATTGCTGGTTGCTTATACATTTTTTCTTGCCTTTCATAAAACAAACTAATATTCCTTTGTTTTGAAAGATTCAAAGCCTGCTTGTTGAAAGTGTATTCACGTATAATTTCAAGTACTTTTCAATGATTATGCATGATATCCATTATCAAAATATTTTTTTTACTTCCTTCTATAAAATACGCAATTATACACCTATCTAGCGTGTTGCACAATATGTGCTGATAACTAATAGACTAGTAGTTTTAAAAATGTTATATTTAAACCATTGAATTTTGCATAAACAGTTGCTTTGGAAAATTTTTCATAGAAACACAAAAATCTCCATAACAAAGAAGTTACTGCGATTTTTTAAACATGCACATTTTTTAAAAACATATTAGTTACCTTCTATCTCCTATCCTCTTATCTCCTTCTTTTTTTTTAATAATACGTTTCTGTGATGGCGGCGGCGAGTTCAGGCATACCACTAAAGTGCAGATCCTGTTAGCAGGAAATTTTGGCAAAGGATATAAAAATTAATCGTAGTGGTGTGTGCAACGCACTTTTTCGCGAACAGTGTATCAATTTATTGCTAGAAACACAAAATCTCACATGGTTCTGCGATAGCTGTAATGTTAGCTCTAGTGTAATTTCTACGATGTTTATGAAACTTCAGGACGACATCGGTCAATTAAAGAAATTAGACGAACATCTAAAATTTCTAACCTCACAATTTGAAGACAATAAATAAAGCAATTAGCGTAGAACACGAGGTGACATCTGTCAATGACAAGCATAAGCTCATTCGGAAAGAAGCGGGTACCAGCCGCAGTATTCACCACGTCTCGATAAAACATGCACCAAAGACACATCAAACAAAAAGAAAACAACAACCAGACGCACAAAAAAGAGACACTTCAAGGGCCACACCTAAAAAAACCTGGCTTAACACAGACAATAACAACAAGCAAGATGACGATGGATTTTAATTAGTCCAGCGGACACGGCGAAGAAACAGAACTTTAATAGAAGGAACAAACACAACAAGTAGAATACAAGGAGTTGAGAAGAACACAGATTGAAGAAAACTTATCTGAGATCTGTAGAGTAAACTGTGAAACACTCAACTTTAACCACAACGAACAGTGGAGTTCCTTTTAAATATGTACCCCTTTCACGCACAAAGATACAATTTTAAACGGGAACCTATGGCCGCAAGGTGCAAGACTAAGCAGATATTTCTTTCCCAAGAAAAATGTAAAAAACAGCGCCAGTAAATACGACGTCAATGTGCTGTGCATCTCAGAACATCATGAATCCTAAGACATTAAGCTTTTAGATTATAAGGTTCTTAGTTATTTCTCGAGAACTGGTTGCACAATTTTAAACGGGAACCTATGGCCGCAAGGTGCAAGACTAAGCAGATAATTCTTTCCCAAGAAAAATGTAAAAAACAGCGCCAGTAAATACGACGTCAATGTGCTGTGTATCTCAGAACATCATGAATCCTCAGACATTAATCTTCTTAAGCTTTTACATTTAGTTGCAGAGGTGGGGGAGTCTGTATCTTGGGTCGAGAAAGTTTAAATTTTCCATTTAATAACTCTGAAGGAAAAACTTTTGAAATGTGTTCAATAAAATTAGAGCTTAACAAGGAATGTATCAGAATTTTCTCTGTATTCCGATCTCCAAAGGGAGACAGTAGATGATTTTTTTTAAATGTATTGTTTAAACAATACAATACCAAAAGCGAAATAAATATCTATCTATCTATCTATCCTATAAATCGGGAAGTTTCTCTTTATAAGTTTTCGGTTTGGATGGCCTTTTAAAAACCCGTGTCCCATTTCGACCTCCCGTTAGGAAAATGCAAATCTTTTCACATCGCCTCAACATTCCTGAGAGGCTTGCCGGACACCTTGTATATGGCAGGGAGGACGCGCAAAAACCCGGAGCCGACCGCGGCTCCGGGTTACTTACGAATTAAACAGACTTTCCGGGCACCGAACATACATCGCGCATTATAAGGCGACGCATAAAAAGCGAACGTTCGGCTTTATGGGACATTAAACCCATTAGAGGTCGTATTTTTAAAACCGGAAGAGCTCTAACGATGGTCGGAGAGAAGAGGGGTGGGGGACGATAATTACTCTCCGCTAGAGAGACGCGCGGGCCTCCCCCCCTTTTACGACGTCAACGTTTCGGGAAATGGTCGAATTTCGACGGAAACGCCGCCATTGTTGCGATTTTACGTCGGTTTTATTTTTTTCATTTTTTTGAATTGAAATCAGCCCCTAGAACGTGACGTAGGGGCGCACGCCGTACGCGGCAAAGACTCGGTCCCATCCTTCGTAGTAGCGTTGCTTAGGGTTCGTTTTGGTCGTTAGGTCTGCGTCGATGTCCAAGTATGGGAAGCTGTCGGCCGTCATTATCGGCCAGGTGACGTTCTGGAGCAACGGGTCGTCGCTCTCGGGGGTGGGATTTCTGGACATAAAAAAAATCACATCGATATGACGACAAGGACCCCTTAAAATAAATTTTACTTTTATTTTATGAAAATTTTCACGTCAATTAATAAACGGATTTTTCTTTAAAAAGATATACGGAAATCGAAAATCACATGGGAGCAAGAAAAACAAAAGTAACTTGATAAATAATAATAAATGACAAACAAAATAGATGCTGACAGAGATTAGAGAAAAATTTGTGCTGCAAGAATCCGGTATTTGAGGAGACGTATATATTCAAATATATACAAGAATATATACAGGAATTAACGCAGGTATTAAGAAAAATTAAAAATTTAAAGGCCACAGGTCCAAGAGGTATACCAGTGGAAACATATTTTGAATAAGTGTTTGTTGAACATGGAAGACCTTCCAAAGGAAGATGCATAAGAACTAACTAACAAACGAAAATTATCCATTCCCCTCCAGAAGCTATTTGATATTCGAGACAAGAGTCAAACATATGCAAAGTATGTTACCGCAATAGGGAAGCATGAAAACGAGAATGAAGTTAGGCAAAGACTATCCCAGAATAATTACACGGATGAGAGGATGTTGCCTATCTGCAACACTTTTTAGATGTTTAAGATATTATTGCTATAAAAAAAAATGAGCCGTTATGGGCCTGGATATAGATAGCAGTTTCTTGAACACACCTTCGCTTATGACGAAATCCGCGAGTGACTCATGTGACATCGACTATGTGATGCGGAAAATATGGGAGGCATATAAATTTTTACCAATATGTCAATGGAGTCTCCCCAGTACATTTGAAATATTAATGAACAAATACTCGAAGCCTGTCAGGGCTATACCTATTTACGTGCATGTATATAAACAGATTCAACTAGCAAATTATATGGTCGGACACAAGAACCAATGAATGGATGGAATGAATGATGGATTTTCTTGGAAAAAGTGCTAAGAAAACCAAACGGCCAAGTAAATCGAAAAACGAATTCGTACAAACCGCGATATCGGAAGAAATGAAGTTGCTGCAGACTTAAAAATTATTTTAAAATGGCAATCGCGAAATATGAAAAAAAAGAGAGAAAATCCCTAGAGGAATGCACAAAATAAGTTCAGAAGGGCATAGATAGATAGATAGTTTTATTCACAAAGCCCAGTATGTATACAGTGGATGTTTCGTCAGGAAACGAGTACATTATAGAGTAGTATAAAGATACATGGAATTATGTATATAAACAATACGATAACACACGTTTAACAGCACAGTATAGAACAGTTACAAACGGATATACAAACAGTACAAACACATTGACAAAATGTAGAGAAAATATCACTAAACTCATCAGGGCACTCCTGTAATATATGTTTCAAATTCGTTCAGGTCGTAGAAAGCATTGGTTGACGGAAGCTTTCTGACGCCCTTTTTAAATTGTCTCGTAGATAATGCTTTTATGCTTGTAGGAAGCAAATTATAGTAATAAGGTCCTGCGTAATTTAGCGACTTTTTGTAGAACATGTGGTTCAGTCTTGGCTTTAGAAGGTGTTTCGGGTGTTATAACCGTGGACATCCGTGTGTTTCTTGTGAGAGCCTTTATTTTTATGAACGATGACGAATGATTTAAATAAATATATGCAACGCACTGTTAGTATTTTATACTTTATAAATATATCTTTGCAGGATAGCCTCGGGGGCAGTCTGAAAATTAACCTAAGTATCCTTTTTTGATGAATGAACACCCTCTCCGCATCACTCGCTTGTCCCCATAGAGAAAAGCAGAATGGAAAAACAAGCCGGTGGAACGTAATAGTTCGTACATACTTACAAGTATTTGACGAAGTTGGTCCACAGCCTCACGAGCCGCTTGTGCGTCAAAGCGTCGCCGTCGTCCACTGTTTCCACTTCGCGGCTCAGGAACAAGTAGTTGAGTTCCTCGCCGTGACCGACCCGATCCGCACCTACGTGATACGGTAAAGAGAAAGCGTAAAAAATTAAACGACCGGTTACCTTCCGCCGTGTAGTCCACACCACCTAGAGCACCGTCGTAAGAGAACTGGTAAAAATACACTGTGGTTAGAGGCGAAATCATTCGAGCCTGCTTCATAACCGCCCTATCGTACCTGTTGTCGCTGAAGTGCTACAATGGTGGATGAAAAAACCAGACTGTATACGTCTATTTCTCCAAGAATTTGATATCAAATATTTAAATCTTGAACTTGTGTTTAATTATGCCGTGTCAATTCGATATAACACCCTAACAACCAAAACAAAGACAGAAGGCTTTAATTAATTTGTGGCCACTCACGCGCACTACCGCCCCCAAACGATCCGCGAACGTATCGTTGCCGACGTATATCTCCTTAATGGCGTTCCCGATGACTGCCACGTCAGCGTCCCGGCCGTAATGAAAAATATCGGGCAGTAGGAGCGCTGGATCAGAGTCGTACGATTCCGCTTGAGCGTTCAAATATTTTGTGGCTGAAAGCGTATAGATTATGAGGCGAAATCTCGTCGTAACTCGCGCGCGAAGGCTTCTCCTCACATTTCGCGGCCGATATCCCTTCCTCGGACGTCATGCCCATCAGGGTAGGCACTTTCGCGAAGTCGCCCACATCGAATTGCTCGTACATCGTTGTCGACACGAACGCTGTCGGACCGTCCGCTTCCAGCACTACGGCCGGCTGGACCTTGAAAGAATTTTTGGAACGTTACGAGAGGCCAAGATCGGTAGACACGATTTAGGTTGGCCAACGCAACGAGTCGTTTTTTGTTGTTTACTTTTCGAAAAGCCCAACATTTCATTTTAAAAGGTAGAATCATAAGAATACCTGATAATTTTAACTTAACACCGACATACATTGCTTTGCGATGTAAAGTGCCTGTTTGCAGAGAAAGAACTTTAGCAAATCTGGATTCAGAGATGTAAATGAGCTGGTAAATGGAGTAGCCATTGTGTTTGTTCTGAACATTTTAGAGAAGATTTTGAACATGACTTACAGGCTGAACTTTTTCGTTTATCAGTTAAAACCGAACTAAAAACTGGCAGGTGAAAATATTCTTAAATTCATAGCTTTGACTGCTTTCTCAAAAGCTAATGCTAGAACAACGTTGTGAGCCCGTGTTTGAACTCTAATTTCGCCAGTTGTTTGATTTAGCTATAGCTACTCTACAAAAAATGCATATATATACCTTCGTCGATGCAAAAAATATCCGTTATCAATCGATACTGTGCATTGGCAATTTGTATCTTAAAGCACCATTGTTTTCATAAAGAGTTTTAGACTTACATTCATTGTGCAATTAAATTTAGTATTGAGTAGGAAGTTGTGAAGACCGTCTATGTGATTACAAAACAGAACACAGCTATCCGCGTCAAAAGGAATTGAAAAGTAGTTCAAAGTGCTTATTGAAGTCAGGTGCAGGAAGAAATTTTCCAACACTTTTAAAACCGCGTTAGTATATCTACTTATTTGGTTGGTGGAAACTTACGATTTTCGTTTTGGTGCCGGCAGCGTCGATGGTTCGGGCGTCCAGACCCATGAAGAAGGTGCCCAGTTGGTCGCTGGTGGCGTTGACGTCGAAGTCGACGTCCACGGCTTGGGCCAGGTCGATTGCGTAAGCCCGCGGATCTTCGATAAACGACCACATGTTTAAAGGGGACCCGCTTTCGGCGATGGCGGCTCCAAACAATCCTATGGTAAAAACAAGAAAAGTACGGCAAACTTTGGGGAGAAAATGAACCGTACCTGCCGAGTTGGGATTGAGCAAGTGGTACCCGACGGATGCCGCCCCGGCACTCTGCCCCATGATGGTGATGCGGGCAGGATCTCCGCCGAAGAGGTGGATGTTTTCATAGGTCCAACGCAGTGCGAGCTGCTGGTCCTTCAGTCCGTAGTTCCCGGGGATGACGCGGTCGCCGGTGGACAGGAACCCGAAAATGCCCACCCTGTAGTTGTGGGTGACGAGGACGACGTCCTCGTCTATCAAGTAGTCGGGCCTGTAGCTGGCGAAAGAGGCGGCGCCGTTGCGGAACCCGCCGCCGTAGATCCAGAAGATGACCGGCAATTGTGCCTCTGTCTAAATACAGACAGAAAAAAGAAGAAGAAGTAAAAAAAAACGTTGCAACACATTTTTGGATACAAGACTTGTAAGCAAGCAAGTGATAATGTTTGGCCGTGAATGCCCGTGGTAGTTTCAGGCAGTCAAATGTGAGACTAATCTTAAAAAATAATTTTTAAATCATGAGCCGGGAGCAAACACACTACCTCAATGTCTTTGAGTAAATATACATGCATATTACCAACCTCAAAATCTCAATCCACATCGAAAGTCATGGAAAAATCAGTGGCATATTGAAATTTCTTAGTATAATATTTGACCGCAGTGTCCAATTTCAGGTGTTATAGATATAGCTGTTATTTTCTAGCTAGGTACTTTTCTTATGTCCTTTCAACTTAGACATACGTTTGGGGTGAAAACGTTGACGTAGAGACAGTCCTCGTTCTCCCTGTCACTGTCCGACTGCAGCTGGAAACAGATGGCGCTCTCTTTGGTGGCGTCCAGAGTACCGTTCCACGCGTCGTGAGGTCGAGGCGCCTGAAACCTGGACGTACCAGTCGGCGGGGCCGCGTACGGTACCCCCTGGAATGCGAGGTACTCCCTACCCGTGAACGTCGTCAGCGCGTGACCTTGGATCGTACCGTTGGGCAGAACGACGATCGGTTGCTGCGACGACTTAATAGGGGTGGCTGTTAAAATACGCGCCGTTTTTCGCTTGATCGGAGTGGGAGTACTTACGATTGGCGGTACAAGAAACGCGAGAAAAATGCAAAGCAGAAACATGTTGAAAGTACTAACGGGTCGAGAAGAGACGATAGCAGTACAAAAGTACTATCTTATCTCGAGTAATTTGAACGACCTACTTGAAGTAATCGAATGTTTTATCTCTTATTTGTAGGCCGCTCTAAATATTCTCTACAAAAGGGGATTCAAGTGATATTCGTACATTTATTTACGAACCAAGCCCTTTGAAAATAACAATGGAGTAATTAAGAAAAACAACAAGATCTGTATTAGCTACGGACTTAATTACGATGGAGGAAAATTAGGGAATAGTGTATTATGCAACAAGTGCGGTAAACGGCATTTGACTCATGAGTTTATTTGACACGAGCGGAGCGCAGCGGAGCGAGTTTTTAATAAATGACTAAGTTAAAAGTTTAGCGAATGTGTTGCGTACTATACTTTTTCTACGACCGTTAGTTTTTTGGCAAAACAACACGAATACATTCACTGACATGACCGTCAGAATTGACAAACGTCAAAATTCAAAGCGTGTGAAATATCTACGAAAACATCCGATCGCTCCCAAATCCGTGCGGTAAAATCTCGGAAATGTCCGAAATGGCTCGGATTCGTGGGATACGAAATTGACGTGGTAAAGTGACGTTTCCCGCACGCTAGATCGGTGGGTAATTATGTATTGGGTTGTTCGGAAAGTCATTTCGTTTTTTTTTGGGGAACATGAAAGACAGTTTTCGTATAATGAATAAATATTTTATTAAATTATATATTGGCCATTCTGGTCCAACACCTTTTGCCATCTTTCTGGCAGTAACATAATTCCCCTCTCATAAAAGTTTTGGTCCTTGCTGGCAAAAAACTGGTTCAGGTGGTTTTTGACATCTTCATTTGAGGTAAAGGTTTTGCCATCCAAAAAATTTTGCAGGGACCGGAACAAATAGTAGTCGGAAGGCGCCAGATCTGGAGAATATGGTGGATGTTGCAGTACGTCCCATTCAAGCTGTAAAAGTTTTTGGCGAGTGACCAAACTTGTGTGAGGTCTCGCATTATCCTGGTGGAACACTACACCCTTCCTGTTGATTAATTCGGGCCTCTTCTCTTTAAGTGAATCATTCAATTTGTCCAGTTGATGACAATAGACTTCTGAATTAATCGTTGTATTGTCCGGCAAAAGCTCAAAAAAAACGATTCCTTTGACATCCCACCAAACGGAGAGCATCACCTTTTTTTGGTGAATGTTGGCTTTTGACACGCTTTGAGCCGGTTCATCTTTTCTGCTCCATGACCTCTTGCGTTTAACATTGTTGTATACAACCCATTTTTCGTCCCCAGTAATAATCCGCTTCAAAAATGGATCATTTTCTTAACGTTTGAGGAGCGAATCACACACGTCAACGCGACGACACAAATTTCGCTCCGTAAGGACATAGGGCACCCACACATCGAGCTTCGAGGTTAAGCCCATGCCTTTCAAATGGCCATAAACAGTCGAATTCGACAAATTTAATCTCTCACCGATCTTTCGTGTGGTTATTCGCCGATTTGCATCAACTAATGCCTTTATCGCATCTTTGTCAGCTTCGACCGGCCTTCCAGACCGTGGTGCATCTTCGACATCAAAATTGCCGGATCGAAATTTTGCAAACCAGTTGTGGCACTGGCGTACTGTTAACACGCCTTCTCCATACACATCCGTCAATTTTTTTCTCGCTTGGACAGCATTTTTACCTTTTCTAAAGTAAAAAAGTAAAATATGACTAAAATGCTGCTTATTGCTCTCCATATTTAAAAGGGCACCGACCAAAAACTACTGCGTAGAATTAATAGAACTTTTTCACACACAAGCCTTGCAATATCAGCTCTCAAGACATATAATGGTTATGCGGCTTAAGTGTGAAGTTGGTTTCGAAAAAACGCAATTAAGTCCTCTGACGGGAAAAAACGAAATGACTTTCCGAACAACCTTATATTTTATAGACGGGAGTAGAAGAAAGCTATTATTTCAAGCTAAGCTAAAATCTACAATAATTATAACGTCTGCTCTTACGCGGGTTTTAATTTTTTTTTAAATACTTCCCGACCCCCCAGACCCCCCATTTTCAATAGGTTCCGTCACTGGGTAAAGCTGCACAGATGTGCCAAAAATGAAGTCGATTGCTTCAAATATCAGACACTTATCGTGTTTCATAGCAAGATCCAAAAAACAGTCGAAAATCGCGAAAAAAAGGTGGAAACCGGCGTCGGATCAGGGCCATTTCTTATAAGCTTGTGTGCCTCGTGGAAGGTTAAAAAGGAGGCGAATTTCAATTTTGTAGCCCTTTTAAAAAAAATAAAATTTAGAAATAACCATCGTGTAATTAAGAAAAACAACAAGATCTGTATTAGCTATGGATTTAACATTAAACTGCGATTTGTGAGTTACTGTACAGTGCAAAAAATAGTAACTTTTTGAACAATCGTAGGAAAAGGGTTTTCATAACACATTTCGTTTTCACAACATGTGGAAGAATATCGGAAGAAAATAAGCATTGTATGGGAATGTTTCTATTTCAATCGGTCATCCTGTAACTATAATAACTTTTTTTTTAGGTTTCTAGCCACCGGATCGTCATTTAAGTCCTTGTCATTTACTTTTCGGGTAGGAATAAGGAACGTAATAAAGTATTTTTTTGAACATAGCGAAAGAATACTATGAAAAATGGAACTTTCCCAATTGTATCGGAAGTATTGATGGGAAACATATACGGATTAAATGCCCATCACGTAGCGGTACAATGTTTTACAACTACAAACAATATTTTTCAATCGTTCTACAAGGAATTGATGACGCCAGTTACAAATTTGTGATAATTGACGTGGGAGGGTTTGGAAAATAGACTACTGAGACATTTATTAAAACCCTACAGTCATCAACTGCTTGATCCAGAAAAGGAATATTCCACGAGCACGGTAGAATGCGCATTCGGAATTTTAAATGCACAAAGACTAAATCTATTAATTTAATATAATTAATTAATTAATATAATTAAGTTATTTGAAACGATCTCGTCGTTCGATTTAATCGCTCGAGCAGATCGCTATACTATGTGCACGCGCACCTGTCTCCACAGGTTTGTTTTGGACGCGATGTCGCTCTGCATAATCGCAATTGTAATTAAAACTGTTGGAAATAATTAAGAAATCACTTTGAACTGCTCCAAATACTTAAACAATGCTACTAACTGACCGAAAGCTATACTATACTAATGTCGTCGTTACTTAAGTTTATAGACCCGATATTCCTGGATCTCCACAGGCGCTTTCGTGTGCAATTTTAATAGTAAGCATTTTTTATGCCCCTTTCCTTTTAATAAATTTGTTTGAAAATGTCATCGATTGTTTTTCGTATTTATGTTGCACGGATCGGAATCGGATCTGTAGCGTCCCTTTCACCGCATTCATATTTCCGGCGACTGTGAACGGAGAGTTATGTTCCCGAAAATACAAATTCCACATTATGAAAATGTATTCGGAAATGTGATTCAATGCGCGCGTAGCGAAAATATATTAGTCCATAAACCGACGCTCACGTTAACGGGCCAACGAGCATCGTTTCCTTTGCCAAAAACTTCTTTGGCCGCGCGCGACGACGACGACCGAAATTTACAACCCCGATGGATCGGTGCCGCGCAGCCTTTTATGCGCACGTTGCAAACAAAAAACGCGCATTAGGCCAATCCCTTTAACGCCGCTTCTCAGGTCTCGCGCATTCGCCAATTCAGTCGAAAAATATTTAGAATATTATTTCTTGTACTTGCACAATCGCAAACAGAAGAGACTTTTGTGTATCTGTACGGTCTGCGGAAAAAAACATTACCTAAATTGTTAAAAATTATTTCCAATTTCATGCAACGGGCGATGGATGTACCAACTTGTAGTGCAAATAAGAAAATGGGAGCGTGCGGACCACTATAGAACTTTCGAAACATCGGTGTAATTTGATTGTGCATGAACCCCTTCAGGTCTCGCCGAACTCCAAATTTATGGCAAACTTTAGTAAATGTTAAAAATTGTACAAATAATAGTGATCTCCTATGACATTTTTTCAAATATCGTGCGCGCCCTCTATGATAGAAGATACTTGTAACTCTGTTTCTCTCTGTCGATACAATTTGCGATACTATTTAAGCCAAATGACCCCATGTTTTATAGAACATTTCTTTGCCGCTTAATACTTCCCAAGATACATTTCAAAGCTATGCTTAGCGCCTGTAGTTGCTGAGTCACGAGCGAAAATTGAAAAATCCCATATTAAGGAAGGTATGGCAATTTTTAAAATTTTTGCGTATTGTTCAGAAACCACAGGTGCTATCCAAAATCTAATTATACCATTTTTTGAGTAGTGTAGAAGGGCATCTTTGTGTTTCTCGATAATAACCGCGTTTCCCATAAAGATATATACGAAATGCAGTGATTAGTGAATAAGCGTGGACCAACTTTAATTTTCGTTAGTTTTTTTCTGTCAAATATCCTATTCAATGCGCTAGTAACCCACTATGTCGGAGATCCTCGGGTCAATTAAAAGTTTGGCATTTCCTGAAAAAGCGGGAACTCGACTGCGTATCGTTAGAGAGTATCCACAATACGGCGACCCGGTAGTTAGGGAGTTTTTGCTCACAATGCGTTAAACAGATTGTCGCGCACAATGGCGCGACGTGTCAACTTCTGCTAATTAAAGTCCGAGATGAGACAAACACGTTTTGTATAGCGTTAAGGATTTCCGTCGCTGGTTGTTCGTGACGAAACCGAAAGAGAAATAAATTCGTTCATGATTAGAGCAAACAACATTTTATTTATTCAAACAACTTCGACATTCGATTGAACCGATTGGGAACAAAAATAATTCGATGATCAAACGAATACCTCTTCGTCGAAATCAAAATAGGTAGTCCCCCTTCTAGTCGCTAGGTGGCACCACTTTAGAGCAGAGCCAAAAAACTGTGGAATAACTTACCATGCACGGTATATTCGCCATCTATAGTCTTAACCTCATTCTATTTTAAAGCCCGTTTATAATAAATTTT